CACTCTTCAGAGTTTGGTTTGGCAGCATAAAGCTTCCCTAGAGGAGCAGAGGTTCTTAGTTGGGGCTTGAGTTTGTCTGTGTTTGAGAGAAAACCCCTAAAAGACTTTCACACGACTGAAAAGAGAAGATGCGTCACATTTACGATGCAATAAAGAGCTCCGTGCACACACGTGTGCAAACGAGTGATCGAAAAGTGTAAGACAAAGAAGCTAAACGAGGTAAAAACTAGCCATTATTTACCGACACATTAAAACAAGACGTTAAAACAATAAATGTTTGATGATGTGTGTGTTAATGAGAACATTTAAATGAAAAGCAACAAGCCGTCAGTGAAACGCTTTACTGCTGTAATGAATTTTACTGACAAACACTTGGTTTGTTACCTAATAAAGTTAATTGTATCATACTTTATGTTTGAACTAGTAGTTAATATATTTACTGCTTATGACAGATAATGCTACAAATTATTATATATGGCATTGTTTGTAACAGATGTGAAAATGTTTAAATTTTGTCCATTATTGAGCAAAAACATCCAAAACTGGCAACAAAGGGCAGGCAACTTCACTTTAACCCATGAAAAATATATTATTAATATTATTCTGTATATTATTATTATTATTATTAGCCATGGAGGAGCTCAGATGGTTTAGAGAGTCTGATATAATTGAGAGTAAAGTTATAAGAGAGGTATAAAGAAGCTGGAAGTAGAACTAGTCTCACTTGGGGAGATGATTTGCTCTGAACTCTTTTTAGATGAGTTTTCATCAGAACAGTTTTGCAGCATTTCCTATAATAAAGTCTTTAATACTCCGTTTATACTTAAAACCGTGGCATTCATTGACAATTAAATAACTGATATAACTAATAAATATGTTAAATATTTCTTGTTGTAAACTTTGTTATGGTATGATAAAAATGAATGTTAACAGTCCAGTTTGTTAAACCAGTAAACGCTGGCTGCTCCAGCAGTGAGTCGGTGTTAATGAGAGACAGACTGCATCGTGGAAGAAATCATTTTAGTATTTAGGAAGTTTGGCCTAATATACATGATTTTACCCATTTTGTCACATAACGTTTTTTTTTTGTTTTTTTTTTTACTTGGCACAACCAAAGTGAAACAGGAAGTGACATCAAAACGTGAACAGTTAATGTTATCTTTCCAAAGTTGTATTTATATTTATAACAAAAATGCCACACAGGCACTTTAATGGTTTCTCTGGATGGCCCTCCAAGTATTTAGGGTCACATGCAAATGTTGACGAATAGTGAATGTTGGTTTAATGGGAATTTAAATTTACCTTGTGGTAAAATTCAAAAGCTAATTTATTTCAAGTTCAACCTGAAAATTGCTATCCTGGGTAAATTTGTTCCAAAATTTCAATCTGGCATCAAAACTGATCTTTTTTTATTTACAAGTTTTAACCCTTAAAACACAAACTTTTTTATAGACGAAAATCCAAACTTCAGATTTGAGGGTCCTTCCAGCATGGCCACCAGTTTGACTAATGAGCCTCCATTTATTTTGGCTTTTTATGATGCAACACCAAAGACATGATGCAATCACAGTAGAGGATGATGCAACATGTATGAAATGTGATGTATGACAACAAAACAGACACAAAGGGCATTTTTGTCTAAAAACATCTAAATGTCAAATGGTCCTAAAACAACAATGCAAATTAAAAACAAATAATGAACTAGAATTAAGAGAGAGCTGCTGCCTCTCAGCGGGAAGGTTGCTGGATCTATTCCCGGCTGGGGACTTTTCTGGGTAGAGTTTGCATGTTCTCTCCGTGCTGCGTGGGTTTTCTCCTGGTACTCCGGTTTCCTCCCACAGACCAAAAACATGCATGTTAGGCTGATTGGTAACTCTAAATTGTTCCTAGGTGTGAGTGAGTGTGAATGGTTGTCTCTGCGTCCCTGTGATGGACTGAAGACATGTCCAGGGTGTCCCCCACCTCCAGTTTTGTGTCTTGTAGAGAGCTAATGTTCCTCAAACACACACAAATTTTGTAAAATAGTAGAAATCTGACAATAAAAGTTCTCTGTGAGATCCTGGGATCATTGGAGGACTTTGACATTATCATTTTTTTTTTTTTTTTGCCAATAAAAACAGTATTTAAAAGGTTAATACTTTGAGAATGAAAAGATTTATTGTCTGATTGTGAAAAGTTGGAGCCAGGGTGCCCAGGATATCAAACTTCAGGCCAAACGTCAATGGTTTGGAAAACATTAGCTTTTGAAACACCATTAAAACAATGTTCGCAGTTTGCAACGTCAAAAATAAAATACAACTTCCGCTATTTAGACGGTCGTATCTCAGAAACACTTGAGAGCCAACGCCCGTACTTCTGCAGGTGTCCACGTTACATATAGATGTTCTTCTAAATTAATTTTCACCCAAATCCAAGTCCGTTACCCTGAAAGGGTTTGGGAGCTTTGGTTGGGTTCATTCAGACTGGCCCAGCTGTGGACTTTGTATGTATATGTGTGTGTGTGTATGTGTGTGTGTATCAGCTTGGCAGCTCTGTATGATGATGAAGTGAAGTGAGAGATGGAGCGGCTCTTGGGTCGAGGGGGGAAATATCGGCGCTGCTGAACCGTAGTGGGAGAATGTTGGGTTGAGCGGTGGCAGCAGCAGTAGCAACGCTGACTTAAAACCTATGATGGACGTGCTGGTGTGTCAGCAGGACTAATACAAACATCCGTCTCGAGCCCATTCGTCCACTCCACTTGCTCTAGACAGAGTTATTGGAGGAGGGCACTAGATCAAAGCTGAAGGCCATTTTTTTGCTGCTCAATCAAGAAAAAAAAACCTGCTGCGCCGCTTCAGATGGAAATCTGAGGAAATGGTCTCGTTGGACAAAAAATGTGACAAAAGCAGAGTCATAGATGAAGGCAGTCCTCGCAAAGTCCCATGAAATGAGAAAGAAGACCTGGTCATTCTTTGGGGCGTGGGAACCGTTAACACGGAAATGCTCATGTTTCTCTGAGGAAGGGAGGTAAATAATATCCTATGTAGGGGTGCACCGATGGCAGTTTTCAGGCCGATCACCGATCTCTTAAACAGTCTGACCTGCCAATACCAATTTTGTTTTATAAGCGACACTGTCAGGTGTTATAAGGTCACAATGCACCTTCAATTTTCCAATATTATTTTATTGAAAACATACCCTTGAACAATATCCTAGAAACAATACAAACTTGTTTTAACTGGCCATGAGGTCGTGCTCTGAAATATAAATGAAGTTCAGACAATTCTTGTTAAAACTACAATAAAAATAAAAAAAATAAAAATCAGTAAAATCGGTTTTTCATGCAAGTATCGTCCGATTTCCCAAAATTAAGGAAATCGGGGCCAATAAATCAGCCAGACGATTTATTGGTGCACCCCTAATCCTATGTGGCAATTCCTTAAAGGTGAACAGATTTAGTGCAGTAGAACTTCTAGCTTCAGTGTTTTGAAACCACCTGGAGGCGACGATAGAAGTAACTCCTGTAGAAAAGTGCTGAAAGTGTCTCTGTAGCAGTAAACGCTCCTGATCAGTCCTTAAACCGAACTTTTTCCATCTGAGGCAGGCGGTTAAAAACACAGTAATTCACACGTTCATCACAACCTCGTAATGCACTTTGTTTAGGGGTCAGTGCTTCCTCCATCTCTAATATCCAGAGGAACAAAACGTCACTGCACGTTTTGAGTGGAGCGAGAAAATATTTCCGTTTTAGCCTCAGTCCACTTTAGACTTTGTTTAAATAATATTTTATTAGCTTTAAAAGCCTGTCATAGACTGGCCCCCATCATACAGCCTCCTGTCCTCTCGGGTCAGCTGATCAGCTGCTCCTCGGTGTGCCAAACACCAAGCGTGATATTAAACAGTACTTAATGCTGCAGCTCCTAAAATGTGGAAAGCCCTCGTTTGCACATTAGGCCAGACTCTTCCCTCCCTGTGTTTTTAAGTCACTTTTTAAAGCCCATCTCTTGTCCTTGACCTTTGACACCATGTGACACATTGACTTTTAATTTTATTTGAATCGATTTTGTGTTGCATTTACTTTATAGTTTTCTTTCTTTATGTTTTGTGACACCTGTTAATCTTGTGCATTGTTCTGTACAGCACTTTGGTCGTGTGCTTGTTTCTGGTATGGTAGTAAAGGTGAGAGAATATCAACATGTTCATCCATCCAGCCATTATCTTTTACCCGCTTCTTCCATTTTGGATCACGGGGGTCGCCGGTGCCCATGTCCAGCAATCATTGTGCGAGGGGCGGGGTACACCCTGGACGGATCGAAAGTCCATCACAGGGACACATAGAGACAAACGAGACAAATGAGACAAACAACCATTCACTCTCTCACTCACATCTAAGGACAATCAGCCTAACATGCATGTTTTTGGTCTGTGGGAGGAAACCGGAGTACTCGGAGAAAACCCACGCATGCACGGAGAGAACATACAAACTCCACCCAGGAAGGCCCCCGGACCGCGATTTGAACCAGCAACCTTCTCGCTGAGAGGCAACAGCTTACAAAAAAAAAAAAATAATTTACTTTACTGTCCTAACCTAAAGATTATTCATACCTAAATATGTTTGACCTGAGCATCAAAATAAATGTTTTAGTCAAATATAGATAAAGTATATAATGAACAATAACACCTACATTTCCATCAGATAAATAACAGCCAAAAGTTAAACCAACAAAACTAAAAGGTTTTATTGATTCCTGCAGAATGACTCCTGACTTACTATTTTTGACTCAAATGAAATTTTGGACCCTTCAGAACTTGTATTTATTCTGTAAAATGAAAGATATTAGCAAAGCTGCATGCAAAGGTGGATGTCATCTGCATAGAACTGACACTGTACGCATAATATTGGTTCTTAATGAGTTGACAAAAAAAACACACAAAAAAAGATGCAAATGGAAACAAGAAAAGGACCAAGAATGCATCCCTGTGGCACACCACGAGTCAGCTGAAGCATGTGTGTTACTGACCCAGTGAGGCGTAGTAGAACGGGAAGTCTCTCAGGTAACTGGAGTACTGTGGCAAAGCAAACAGACCCCCGGGGTGGCTGTTCCACATCAGGCTGCTTTTGGAGCCGTGCTCCAGGATTCGGTCCTGGATGATCTGCAAACAGAAAAATCACCAATTGAATTTAGTCTTTTTTTACTGTGTTTAGCCACTTGAATTAAATTTTATGTTTGTTATATTTACTTCTTGACTGGGAACAGGGTAAAGAGAAGAGTAATTGGAAGTTTGGCCCAAACTGTTGAAATGATGTGAAATACACAGAACAAATGCGTGGCTTTTACCTTGGACAAATAAAGACCAGAGGGAAATGATTAAAAATAAAGAGGGATCCTGCCTCTGATACAACTCGGCTTCAAATAGTTTTTTTGTTTTTAAACACCATTTAAAAAATTCCCCTTTTATGAAATTACTTTTTATTTGCAAGGATTCCTCTAAGTGAGTAAAAACCAATACAAATCTGTGTTTTAAAACATTTTACTGCCGTCGCAGAGAAGTCATCAAAATCACAACTTTATGTGTGGATAAAAGAACCATCGTAATCTTCTCGGATTACAAAGGATGAAATAATAAGGATTAAATCAATGCGCATTGTAATCACACCGATAAAAACATCTCGCATTGAGAAATGAGCCCTCACAAAAAATAGGAAGAAGCAGGTAGTCATAAACGTAAATAAAAGCTCTAATAACCTTTCGATTCAGGATGTAACTAGACTATTATTCAACGCACATCTGGCAGTTTAAAACGGGCGTCGGATGAAAGTAGGAAACCAGCAGAAGTCTTCCAATATTTGTTTTGAAACAAAACAAAAGCTGCTATTGATTGAGTCCAGAGTGACGAGTGTGGCACGAAGCAAAGCTGAAGGAATCGTGTGTTATTGTGTAATATTTCCCCCATGGACGCACCAAAGAGGGGTCAGACCAGAAGGCCAGACGCTTCAGAACCAGTCAGTCATTCAGACAGACGCCGTGGGGGGACAACACAGAAGAAGTAATCAGCAGCATCTCTGCATCAGTCTGTCAGGACCGCCCCGATCCGTTCTGAGCCCAAATAGAGCAGTCAGTCAAACGGTCAGACGTGAGAGTGGCCACTATTTTCCACAACTGCAGCTGAACGGGCATGAGGGGAGAGGTATCGCCGCTGTGCCTTTGAGCCATGCCAAAGTGCTTCAGTAAAACAGACACAGGTTTGCAGCCATGTTTTACGGCGGCTGTTGGCTCGGCAGCTTAAAGGGAGGATATACGGCGCAGAAAGTCAGCTTGTTGACGGCTGTTAAAAGCTCTTATTGCAGCTAGAGGGGCCGCGCTGTGATGATATCGACGAAACAAAACAAAAATTCATCACGGAAGGAAAGTAATGTGAGGAAAAACAACAGCGCTGCGCAAGTTTCTTTTACTTTTCCGAGCTCCGTCCCCGAGGCCGGTCGATAAGCGCTCACCTCAGAAAAACAGATTAACTCAGGACCCGTTGACTTCTCTATAAAAACACTGCCTGCCACCTTCAAACCCCGCAGCACTTTACACCTTATGACGGGTAATTTTGCTCGCTTGGCTGCAGCTCCCTCCCCGCCGGCAGCCCTCAGTCGGACATGATGGACGACTCAATCTCACCTCCGAACAGCCACAATCAACCAATTAGAGCATGATAGATAAATCCTGCGTCTGCGGGAGCACGCTGCGGACTTGACTTTAATTGGTCAGTTTAATAGGTGCACCAGCGGCATGAAACACGCGATACTGACCTTGTGATTGGCTGAAACGTTTCCTTTTCCTGACTGAAAACACCGTACGATCCACCCTTTAAGCTCGCCACATCCAAACGCCCACACGGCTCCGTTTTATTTCTGTACAGACTCACTAATGACTAAAGTGATTATTTAACTGAACCTTAAATTAAATTCAACATTTGAGGTAAAGTATTTAATTCCCCACAAATAAATCCAACTACTACGTTCTAAAACAGAGGTAGGCAACATTTTTTCCCAAAGGGCCACATCAAAACGTTTAAAGCAATCAAAGGGCCGCATAAAGAATTAGAAAATAAATGTTCTTTATGACAGATAATATAGAAGACATTTTTTAGGCTTTTTCTTATTGTAGCATAGTTAGAATGTTTTATAAAACATGTCTTTCCCATATCTTTAAGGAATATAAGACATTCTGTAAACTGGCTCTTGTGATGATATGTTATACACATTAGCTTAACATGTTATACACACTAGCTTAACATGTTATACACACTAGCTTAACGTGTTATACATGCTAGCTTAACATGTTATGCATGCTAACTTAACATGTTATACACACTAAATTAACATGTTATACATGTTAGCTT